AGATTTATTTCCTTTTTTGTTCCCTTTTTCAAAAAGCATATTCCTTCACAGCCATGGGCAAGAAAGCGAGAAATTTATCTCTGAAAGAAAAGTGTGATGTTGTCAAAATGATAACCAAAGAGGAAAAGACCATTGTTGTTTTTGTTGTTGTTATGTGCCGCCGAGTTGGCCGTGACTCTCTGCAATCCCTCCTTGGGTTTCCGAGGTTGTATCACTTCAGAAATAGATCACCCCCAATCTTCCTTCCCAGGAGTGTCTGGTGGGTTTGAACCACCAGCCTTCTGGTTAGCAGTCAAGTGCCTTGGGCACGAAGCTGTAATTAAGTTCAAATGCGACAAAACAAAAATTTACTCACTTATAAAAGAAAAGGATAAAAGGATAAAATAATTTGAAAAATACATGAGCAGCACTAAAGTAAACATCAAGAGAGGAAAGGATGGAAATAATGCAGAGATCAACAAATCTGTTTTTGAGTGGTTTCTTCAAGCCTCCGCCAATACTGTTCCATTTCAGGACCCATCCTGAAAGCAAAGGGGAAGGAACTGGCAACACTTTGAAAAGATGATGGAGTCTCAGCATGGAACAGGTGGCTTCGGAACTTCAAACAAAACATGGAATCACTTACGATGTAGTTTGTGGGTAATCAAACAAGGTTGATGAGGACATTGTTAAAAACTGGTTCACAAAATTAAAAGGGATCATAAGGTGGTATTATCCTAAAATCCACAGTCATCGAGTCAATTCTGACTCATAGCAACCCTTCATGACTGCACCATAGGATTTCCAAGGCTGTAAATCTTTACGGAAGCAGAGTGCCTCATCTTTCTGTGGAGCAGCTGGTGGGTTCGAACCGCCAACCTTTTGGTTAGCAGCCCAGTGATTTAACCACAGCACCAGCAAAGCTCCTTATGTGATCCTAAAAACATTGCTTCTTTTTTTTTCCCCAACAGGGTAATGCCTAATGTTGTTGTTAAATGCCATCAACTCAGTTCCAACATATATCAACCCTATGTGCAACGAACGCTGAGTAGTCTTGCACCATCATTACAATGGTTGCCATGCTTAAGTTCATCAATGTAGCTACTGTGTCAATCCATTTCATTGACGGTTTTCCCATTTTTTACTTGCCCTCTACTTTACCAAACATGATATCCTTCTCCAGGGACTGGTTCCTTCTGACGCTATGACCAAAGTAGGTAAGATGAAGTCTGGCCATTCTGGCTTCTAAGGAGCATTCTGGCT